GGCAGCCCAGTGCAGGTTTCAGAGTCAAATGAGGGTGGGGAGCCATCTTCGCATAGTAGGGTTGTTGGAACCCAAGAGGGTAGAGCGGACATCCAAGTGGAGGCTGGAGGCAGTTAGGGCCCAGTGCAGGGTATCAAAACATGAGCAAGGTGAGGGGGGTGTTTAAATGGCTACCAAGGCCCCTTGGGGAGAAGAGAGGTGAATGAAACATCAGCCCTAAATGAGTCGTCAGAACCAAAGGAGGTGAGAAAGTCATGCATGTGGAGGTTGAGGGAGAGCAATACCCCATGACAGAGTTTCAGAGCCTGAGCAAGGAGGTGAGAGCATCCGAACAGGGGAGTGGCAATGGCAGTATTCTCGCAAAGGATGTCAACAGAGGCACCTTTGCATGAAGTGAAAGAGAACATCTGTGTGAACCTAGACATGACCTGGAGCAGGAAGACAGAGCCCAGATGAGGTAAGGAAAGAACAAGAAGGGAAGCAGCTCTAAAGACTGGTTACATATGCGGAGATTTATCAAGTCATTAACTATGATGAGGGTAATGGGAGATAGGTTCCTCGCTGTCAGAGAAGGGAGTTACAAATAAGGAAAAAGAGAAAACTAGAATAAACTCTGTAGTATTAGATTAGAATTATGACATTAGAATGAATTCATGGTTTTTAATAGATATAGATATAGGTATGGGATATAGATATAGGTATAGGCATAGATTATAGATATAGATAATAGATATAGAAAAATATATAAGGAATATTTGGTAAATACACAAACATAGTGAGAAATTTTTAAATATTTCTGTCAGAAGCTAATAAATCAAAGAGATAAAGAATTTAAAAATTGTAGCTTTGAGTCAATTATTAATGATTATTTATATTATAATAATATACTTTATTATACATAAGATATATAAATATTGTATATAATCACTATGAACTAAGGGACATTTTTGGAACCCTACAGACAACAATTAGAGAATAAACTTTCTTTTTGAGCCCATATGAAACATTTATAAAAATGAATCACATACAAACAAGGAACCATATATAAGGAAATTAAATCATTCAAAACACATTCTCTAACCACGATCTAATAATCAATTAAAATAAAAGTTTTTTAAGAGCCCATTTATTTATAAACTTGAAAATATTCAGTCTAAATAATTAATTAACAAAGAAAAAGGTCATAATAGAAATTGTGAAATACTTAGAACTGAATAACAATAAATATAATAAAAACTTTTGGAATAAGGTACAAGCAATATTTAGATGGAAATTCATAATCTCATGCATATATTTGAAAATAAGAAGTTAGGTAAAAGAACATCAGAGCAAAACCAGGAACATAGAAAGGAAATAAAGATAGGAACAGAAATTAATGAAATATAAAACAAAAACATAAGTGAGTATATCAAAATAAAATAACTAAAGTCAATTCTTTGGAGTTACTAATAAAATTCTGCCAATACTGAGCAAAATCAAAAAAGAGTGAACACAATAAAAATACTAGGCATTATAAAAGGAATAAAACTATACATTGAAAAAAGATTTAACATTTTTAAGAGAATTCTATGAATAAATTTATGCCAGTAAATTTGAAAATTTATATGAATGAATAATTTCAGCTGATATAAACTATCAAATTAATCTTAAGAAGAAACAGAAGAATTAAATAGATCCATAAACATTTAAGTGATTAAATTGGAAATAAAAATCTAAAATGAACAAAGCAAAAAGTCCTAATGATTCTTCAGGCATATTTCACTTTTAAGCAACTCATAATTCCTTTCTTATACTCCTGAGAATAAAAAAAATAAAACTCACCCTAACCAAACCCATGGCAGCCCATAAAGAGAAGTCATATGCTAATCTCACTAATGAGCATAAATGCACATACTAAATTAAATATTAGCAAACTAAATCCAGCTATGTTTGTTTTTGTGTGTATGCATGCACATGTGTGTTAAGTGTGTGTGTGTGGGGGGGGGGACCAAGTTTAACCTATCCCAGGAATGCAATAATGATTATTTAACATTTAAAATTTTTAAATACAATTCACCACATTAACAGATTAAGGAAGAAAAACTATATAGTAATCTAAAAATTTCAGGATCTGCATTAAAATTCATGCATTATAAGAACAACAACTCAGCAACTAGTATTAGGAACTGCCCTTGCTTGATTAAAAACAAAACAAAAACTCATCGAATAAAATATTGAATGCTTAAATTTTAGAACATTTTCTTTAAAGTCAGGAATAATGCAAAGATACCAATCTATCATTGCCTCTTTTGAAGAGTGTCCTAATATACATAATCAGTGCACTAAAAAAGAAAGTGGTATTAAGTGTTGAAAGGAAGAAAACAACTGCTATTATTCACAGATATTACTGCCCACAAAGGAAATCCAGGAGAACCAATGAATCACAGCAAGAAATAAGAAAACAAATATAAATATCAAATGCAAGGTTGCTGGACATGTGATCAGTAGTCAAAAGTCAAGGTATTCCTCCTCTATGCTGGCAATAAACAATTCGAAAATTTTAAAAATTCAATTCTCAATGGCATTAAAATCTTTAAAATACTCCCAACAAATCTAGTAAGTCTCATTTATAGAGAAAACCATAAAACTGGACATATTGATTTTGAAATGCTGTGGTATTAATTCTGTAATAGGTAAACCGAACACTGGAACAGACTAGAAACTAAGAAATAAACCCACCACTGTATGAGATGTCAGTACATTACACATCAAAGGGAAAAGGATAAGTATCTTTTGCTTTCAAATAACAGAAAACCAACTATTAAAATTGCTTAAACAATGAGAAGTATCATCTCACAAAACCAGATTTTTTGAGGTAAGACTCAGAGTCAGGTTCTGTTCTGTCTTCCTGAAGATAACAGCAACCTTCTTTCATTACCACAAAATGCTCTAAGTGTCATAAACATATATCAAGAGGCAGAAAAAGGAGTTTGTTTTTTCATTATGTATCTTTCTATAAGGGCAAAAGAAAATCTTTCCTAGAAATATCTTCAGCAAACTTCCCTTTGCCTCTCTTTGGCTAGAACTGCTAAACCAATTATTAGGTAGGGAAATGAGAATACCAATATGGTCTGAGAAGAATCAGGATTTACCCAAATAATGTGGGGGAAAAGTAGACACTGGAACAAAACTGGTGTTATGCCAACATGAGAAAGAGAAAAAAGACTGTTGGATAAGTAATCTATGGTACAAGGGAATAGTTCATACATGGTGTGGGGGAGACTAGGCTATTCCTATGGGAAAAAAAAATTAGAGCTTAATAAAACACCAGGTGGATTAAAAATTTGAATGTCAAAAGTAAAAGTTAATTCTTAGTAGAAAATAAAGAACAATATACTTAGAAATTAGGGGTTAAAAATATTTCTAATGTAAAACATAAATAAGCACAAACCATAAAGGATAATATTAACTAGACTACATAAAAAATTAAAACTTTTATACGATGATATATATAGGAATTAAAATTCAAAGACAAAGTACAGTCTGGGAGAAGTATTTCCATGATGTAAAACAATTTATGCTGTTACCCAATAGAAGAAAAATGTGCAAAGTATAAGAATGAGCAACTGACAGAAGAGGAAAATTGAATAGTCAATAAATATCATAAAAGATGCTCAGCTTCATAGTAGCCAGGGGATTGCAAATTTATAATGCAGATAGCATTGACCCACTATCAAAAATGTTTAAGTTCAATAATACTGAGTGCTGGACACTATGCTGGGAAAGAAACTGTCATCCCTTCCTAGCAGAACTGTCAACTAGTCCAGCTTCTTTAGTGATCTATTTGGTGCTATTTAATTACCTCAACAACATGCATGGTCAACAATTTAACAATCCTCTCCAAGGTATATATCCTAGAGAAACTCTTTCACACGTGTACCATGTTCCAGGATATTCATCACATTCTTTCTAACCACACCGACACATCAACATACACACACACTCACACACATACACACACAAATATAGAACAGCCTAACTCTACATCAATATGGATTGGATAAATTATTTTATATTCATTTAAATAGTGTGGTATAGAATGAATGAACTGGTACTATACACGTCAACTTGGTTATCTTAAAAATAGAATGCTGAAAAAGCAGATTGCTTAGAAATATTATAGCGTGGTGTCACTCACATAAAAGGTAAAACCCATAACAATATCCTATATTATTTATGGAAAAAATATTTAATAAAAATATAGAAATAAGAATCAAGCTTATGATTACCTCTGAAAAAGAAAAAAGGAGAATCAGAGCAGGGAAGGGTATAGTATCAGAGATGCTTCAACTTTAACTCTATTTTTATTTCTTTAATAAAAAAATGATACAAAATAAATATTAAAAACTAGTAAGATATATTGAGTCTATATAGAGAGTACATAGATATTCATCATATTATTTTATGTAAATTTGAAATATTTTATAATTTTAAAACATATATCTTGTTAAAAAAAATCTCCCCATAAAAATAATTCATCAACCACGAAAAGGTCCTACCCCACATACAAATTTCTTCATAAAACTACAAATGCAGTTTTTTCTTTTCACCTTTTACTGAGCCACATGTTATATATGTTGTTTAAGGATTAGAGACTAGTTAGTGTGAGAAGAAATGCAAATAGCCATAATAGTCTACAGGAATAAGTTGTAAGGATTGAATAAAGATGCCATAAAAATCAAGAAAGGTCCGAGTGGCATAAAATTGAAAAGAGATTGTCCAAGGTTAGTCAAATGCTCAAAAACATTCTTAGTATTGAGTGAGAAGCCAAAGATGTCACTGTCAAAAAAAGAAAGGGTATGGCAAGTTTCTATTTTAATTTGAGAACACAAGGAGAATATGATATAAGGTATATGTCAACAGTATGATTTATTACTAATACTACAATAAGTATCAAAGTTTTTCCCTGGAAGTGAAAATTTTAATTATTACTATCCCAAGAAGCTCCCATAGCAACATACCTGGAGAAGGAGCCTTTCAAAAGCCAGAAAGTTGTCCCACTTGGCAGTCTGTGGGTGTTTCAGAGTTTGAACAGTGGCCAGTCCAAGCTGCAGGAGTCCACAGTGATTCACTAGAGCTTTGAAGTTGTTCTTGAAGAGCTGAATATAGGACATCAGCTGCCCTGGAGTGACTCTTCCTAGAGAAACACAATAATTTATCAGTGAACCCTCTTCTGGAAGTGGTAAAAATAATGAGGAGAATTCCCTTAATAATACTAACTACCTTATATTGGTACAGAACTTCTGAGTTGACTGCAAGCTTTGCTAAGCTATTGTGATTTTTACAACATGGTGACAACAGTGGAGTTGAAACTATTACCTGCATTTTGCAAGTAAGAAAACAGATGTTAAGTGATCTGGCCAAGGTCATGTTGTTAGTGAAATTCATTTTCTAATTCTGCAATACCCTGCAAGTAAGTTCTCAAATAAAGTCACACAAATAAATATTTGCTGGGCTCAACATGGAGTGCCTCTCTAAGACATATGATTTGGAAGTCTAAGAGGCAAAGAGGCAAAATTTCTAATTGTGTGTGTATGTATATAAAACATGAGGAAAAATCTGTTACAACTATAGCTAAAACTTTATCACTGATATCAGTGGGTTCATGACAATAAAAGGATAAAGCTGGCTGTTACACAAAACAAAAATGTATGGAAAACCAGGGTGGCAAAAACACTAGAAGATCAGATATCAGAAGAAACAATGTGGTGTGGGTGATACAGCATTTGCTACAATGATGACCTAGACTTGAACAAGAGAACGCACATTATAAAAAACGAGCAATAGTACAAAGACAAAATAGACAAATGAAAAAAACTGTTGAAGATTCACTCCTTCAGAGCCTCGAAGTCCAACTTTTGCCTATAGCAGTCCTTCAGTTGATTCACTTCTCACTCTCCAACCCGCCAAATTTAATTCCTGCCACTTATCAGTACTTTGCACAAAACTCCTGAATACCACAAATTCTCTCTATTGGGCAAAAAGAAGGCAATGGGGCCAGACACAGATGAAATTCAAGTAAATTCCTACACGTTACCCACGCCATGTTTGTGGGTTACTCTCGGATGCTTGAAATCCAAGTTTGTTTGTTATATCCAGATTTGTTAATACTTGGCAATGAAACCATCTATCTTTATTTAGCACGTCACAGTTTACACAGTGCAACCATGCCCTCTTCTGATTCTCATAGCAAATCTATGAGGCAGCATACAAGGCATGTGCTGCATCTCTGAGCCCCACCGAGGCATTGAGTTCAGTGTCATGCACAGTGCTAAATGGCAGATATCACATAATAAATGATTTTGGCTACAGATCATAATACACAAAAAATGAAGACTTAGAAGAAACTTAAAAGCCTGTGACATATTCTTTCCTTTCATTACATTCTTTTGAAGAGATTAAGAATTTTGAAGCTCTTTCTTACCAGTTTATCAGGGTGAGCATCTAAAGAATAAGAATACTAGGAATAAGTAGGCAGCAGAATCTCACTAGTTTCTTTGGTCTCTTTGTAGAGCATGAGCTCATTCCTGATTCTCAAAGCAGCAAGCTAACGATTTGCTTGCTTAAGTACTAATAAAGAAAAACCAGAGAAGAACTCTGGTTTTGAGCCAGGTTTATTAAGGTATGATTTACATACAGTAAAATTAACCTTATCTTAGTATACAGTTCTGTGAATTTTGACAAATGCATATAGCTCGGTAAGCACTATCAAAATCAAAATACAGAACATTTCTATCATTCCAAAAGTTCCCCTTCTTTGTTGTTAATTCTCTTTCCTTATCCTCAGACCTTGATAAACACATATATGTGTTTATCATATATAGTTTTGCCTTTCCAGAATGTTATATAACTGGAATCATATAGTATGTAGTCTTTTGACTCTAGTTTCTTTCCCGTTAGCATGGTGTATTTGTTATTCATACATGTTGCTTATATTCACAGTTTGCTCCCTTTTTGGTCTGAGTAATAGTCCACTGTATGCATGTGTCATAGCTTCTTTACCTATTCACCAGTTAATGATCACCTGGTTGTTTCCAATTTTTTAAATTATGAATAAAGTCTTCACAGACATCCGTACAGGCTTTTATACATGTATGTGTGTGTGTACATATGATTTCATTTTTCTGGGGTTAATTTCTAGTACTGGTGTTGCTGGGTCATATATTAAGTATATGTTTAACTTTATAAGAAATGGACAAACTGATTTCCAAAGTGTGCTGCCCCACCAGCAACATGTGAGAGTTCTAGTTGCCTCATACCCTCACCAGAACTTGGTATTTATTGCTAGTTATTTTGATTTTAGTCATTCTAACAGGTGTGTAGCAATATTTCATCATGATTTTCATTTGTATTTTTCTAACAACTTACAGTATCGATCATCTTTCCCACCCTATGCTTTTGCCATCTTATATATATTTTGGTGAAGTATCTGTTCAAATTTGTTGTCCATTTTTATTAGGTTGTTTATTATTATTGAATTGTGTCATTAATTTTTGTTAATTCATTGTTTCAACACATATCTCTGTGTCAGGCATTGTTCTTGGACAAATCGTGGACAAGCCAGATAAAAATCACTGACCTCCTGGCCAATAAAGAAGACAAATGACTCCTTGATGCTCTCCTAATTAAGTCAGCCTATCACATGTCATTCTCTCTTAGGTAATGGGGACCTTTTGTGCAAATAATTAACATTTTTACACAATGACATCTTCTAATGTTAAATATTAACATTAAATACATGAAAACAAATTTTCACACAAAATGGGTTCAAGTCTACAATCACCATGAGTCCCATTTATTTGTTAAACACTGTCCTGCAGGTGATAGAAGTACAAAGGCACCTAGAGGTTTGTCTATGAAGAGAGAGATTCGTAAAATAATTATATAAATAATTACTTAATCATTATTGTGATAAGGATTGCTAAGGAAAAATACAAAATGTCTTCAAAGTATGAAAGGCTCTATATGATACGAACTGTCTACCTCTCTAACTCTGTATCCTCAACTAAAGAAGGAGAAACTAAATAGGCTCAAAATACATACAATCTATTCATAATATAACTGTCTTTTAGAGAGTCCATAAAAAATGGAAATCAACAGAGAAAGCCATCAAAGGGTCTGTTTAGATTTCTATTATAATAATCATATGCTCAATTTAAAGATAAAAATAGCTTTGATTCAAAAACAAAGTTGAACTTTTTATCCAGTTAAACTGTGTTTCCTAGCTCAGACTCAGAATTGGTAACCATATTTACATAATGCCACCTTCCCACCTAAGGAATAAATGGGTATATTTCACAACAGGAAATGCCAACAGAACACTACATTGTGAATTGAGCGATTATATACCTTTGCTGCTCTATTCTTTTCTCCTCTGTATACTTTTTCTTACGCATACAACCACTAACAGTTCATTAGATAAGTCATGAAAGCAGATTGGGCGGGGGGCGGGGGGAGCGGGGGCGGAGTGGTAAAAATCTATAACACGCTAACAAAAATTTAATAAAAGATCATTTCATATAAATACTTTAAAATCACAACCTTACATAAAACAAATAGAAATCAATTAATTGACGACCAAAAATTCTACAGTGAAGCTAACAACTTGAGAAAGCTTCTCAGTTCATAACAACTAAAACAGCAAGCAACTAGAACCAGATGTTGAAAAAGTCATAGAAAGAACATTTATTCATATCCCACATTTCAAAGAAAAAAAAATAATAAAACCCACCTTGTCAGGCAGATTTACATAGTGATTTTAAAATGTCAACCTGGAGGCTTTGCAACACATTTTTTAAAGCCATAAAAACAAAGGTCATTTTATATCAAGACTGCATAACATGTAGCAACTTTTTGAAAAGTGGCAATTTGAAATTTGAAAAATGGTTTTCAAGTAAGAAAAGCTATTAGGCTTTCTTTTTTTTTTTTTTTTTTACAGAGTCTTTAAGAAAGAGAAACAGCCTTCTGATTTCAATCTAGCTAAGAAAAAATATAAAACTTTATCAATCATCAATTCCATATATTTTTAAAACTCACTAAAATATAATTATCCCTTGAAGGAAGGGCGACAAATTTGGAAAATAAAAGGTTTTGATATTTTAATGGTCTGCGATCCTTACAATACTGAATTCAAATGCATCATGGAGACTATTTTCTATTTACTATATACACTTGATAAATTATAACTTTCTCAATGCATTTTTGTGACTTGTTAAAATATATTTAATTTATTAATGCTTCTTTGTTGATATTCTTAAAGAATAATCTGTCAGTATCAGGTTTGATTTAATCACAAACTGTGTCTTAATGGTAGAAAGCAATGACCAACAGAAATTTGTCTAGTATATTTGCTACTAAACGGTTATTTAAAAAACCTTGATATAAAAAATAATAATATTGTCATTGCATGTTTTTTATTTATTTTCCTGAAAACATGAATGGAAACCGAAGTATGTGAAATTTGAATACACAAAGTTACATGCTTTAAGATTTGCATTCCCAGAAATCAGCATTTCGTTTATCTCCTTTTCAATCATTTTTCTAATATAATAAAAGTGAAGTACATTAAAATATTTAAATAGAATATGTTCTGCTAAAACTGTGGTTTATTAGTTCACACACAATTGGCAAACAGGAATAATTTCAATATTACACAAAAGTCATATCTATTCATTTTTTCTTATTATTTTAACATTTTGTGCCACCAAATAACGGCAGCTAAACCCAAAGCAAATAATAAGAGCCAAACACTGGAAGCCACAAGAGGAACTGAGCACTGTATGCAGCGCCCAGGCATCCCTAGGTCTTCCCCTTGGCTCTGCTTGGCCATGTGTCCTGTTTGGTTCTACCTGTTTTTTGGTGCATTTTGCCTTTGCCTCCATAACTAAACAGCCTCAAAACCTCTTTACAACCTTCAACTTTTTGTTCATGTAAAGTCCTATATATGCCATAACATTTCTTTATTTATAGGAATTTAGCATATCTTTTTAACTGCATTAGTATTTTTATCAACATTCTTATTGTTTTTATTAGTTTTCTAATTATAAATTTAAATATATTTTTGAATGGGCTTCTGCTAATGACATTTTTTTATCACGAACCCTGATACCTAGTATGTGATTTTACAAAACAAGTTTT